TATCGTCCCAGCTGAGCTTGTCCAGCGCGATACTGCGGCGGAAATGGCCGCCTCCCTTGGCGTCCGCCGTGTGGTAGACCAGGAACCATGCGCCGTTGAGCTCAACCGCTCCAGGGTGGGAGGTGGTCGAGGAGACGATAGGCAGAATGACATCGCGGAATTTCCATGGTCCCAGCGGGGAGGAGGCCGTCGCATATGCGATACAGGCGTGGTACGAGGTCGGCGTGCACGGCGAGTCCGGGCCTGCATTGTTGGCTGCGAACAGCAGATAGTAGACGCCCTTGCGCTTCATCAGCCACGGGGCCTCGAAATACCCCGGCAGTCCGTCAACCTGGGTGACGGACGACCGCACGGTGACCATGTCCGCGTCAAGCTCATATGCCCGTAATGCGCCGAATGTGCCAAAGTAGACGTAGACCTTGCCGTTGTCGTCCACAAGAACGGTTGGATCGATATTCTGGATGGAATTGCCCGGCGGAGGCACTGACTGGGAGATGATCGGGCCAGACGAGTGAGCGTCCACATAGGGCCCGGTAGGAGAGTCAGACACGGCCACCCCAATAGCAAACGGATCGGCATTCTGGCTGCTGGCCTGTGTCACCGGAGCATACAGGTAGAATCGGCCGTCGCGGCCATGAACGACTTGTGCTGCGTATGAGGTTCCGGGAGCAGCCCAGGCGAACACCTTGTGCGGTTCTGCGACGTTCGGGTACAGCGTCCATTCCGAGCCGGCAGGGTCTGGTGTCGGGGAAACAAACATTCCCCACTGCTTCATAATAAAGTTGTTTTCATCTGGAGCAGCACTGTCCCGTCCGGTCACTATGTAGAGAGTGTTGTTGACCACCAGCGGTGCAGGGTCGGCCGAGTACCACGAGCCATCTGAGAGGATTGGGTTACCCTTCGAGGTGAACGAGATGGGCCTGGATCCCGTTACTTGGGCTAGAGTGGTTGCGCTGAGTGCCAGCGCAGACCAGAGGATACGCATAACTGGGTTGCAGGAAGTAGCGATGGGAATAATAAGGATTGAGGTGTTCAGGAGGAGGACAGGCGAGGGTCCAGCTCGTTCACTCCGGATGTTGATAGTTTTTTAATCAGACAAATTTCTTAAAAAGGTCAGCTCCGTATAGTTCGTGGTAACATGTAGAGTGCAAACTGTGGGCCTAGCTCCTGATTTGAGCATTAATTTGCATCCGCCGCGGTGCCATGCATGTCTCATCCTGATCCACACGCCCCGGACCAAGTTGATCAGAAGGCTCCGAGCGCATTGAGAAGCGGAGTCTAAGGGATAATTCCAACCCACAATGTCTGAAACCTGTGGAGGACCCTGATCTTGAAACATTGGCATAGAAAAGAGTTTCAGAGGATTAACCATAGCATTCAGAAGGACGATCTCAGCAAGCTGTAATCTTGCGCTGGATCCTGAACGGGGGTCGGCTGTTGTAAGTCTATAGTCCTGGCGGTAGTTTGTCTATAAACAGTCTGCATGAACAAAATGGGTTCATAGCTACCATGCTCGTAGAGTGCTGATGAAAAAAAGGCAGTAATGGGCCGAACTTAGGAAGAACTGTACAACAAAACAGCATTATGGAATATGGAGAAGCTCTAGGCATGATAAGATAGCGTAGTATACTCATGGTTAAGCACTAAAGCTTATACAGGATTAGCACGCTTCCTGCAGCATCAGGGACAACTTATTATTAGCCTAAGCATCCATGCAATCTTGCTATCCTTACGCATCTCTAATTGTCACCTCATCAACCCATGCATTACTAAATAGATACAGACATGCAAGCTATAGACAAGGAATTGCACTTGACAGGCCCTGTGTATGTTTCTGATAGCAACCCGACTTCATTACAATCCTCAGCATCTCCATCGTCTTTGTCTTCCCATTTACCGGCGCTGTTTTAAACCATAAGAAGCAGCCCCGTGAACCAACTAAGGACGATTCCAATCCATGGTTCCGAGGCAGCGGGGGCTTCACCACTTTGGATAGTTGTCGTGGGAGAGACTGCTGTCCTCGAACCTAGCGCGGTTGATTCTGAAGAAATTGAGAAGATCTCAATCGTCGTCGCCCTAGACGGGGATGAAGCGCTGGAACTCCCGGAAGATCGTGTTAAGATGTTAGACACTGTGACGGTGTGGGTCATTGTGTCGTGGGTGGCCGTTGGGAAGGACTCGGTTGGAAATGCCTCGGTTTCAAAGGTTATGGTTGCATAGGTTATCTTCGTTAACGTTGGCAGTGTGAAGGTATTTCCAATTTTCGCGCTGCAGTAGTAGTCGCCAGCTGACAGAACGCATGCTTCCGTAATTTTGCAGCATAGGTCATTAGGGCATATGGTGTCAGCAGCGCCGCAGGTCCCAGCACAGGCAGGAGACCCATGAATTACCGTGCAGGGTTGGCCAGACGGACAGCAGCCATTCCCGTCTGGACAGACGGTGTCGGTTGCATATTGACACTGGTCAGCTTGCCTTGCGTTCAAGTCGTGGAGCCTGGGAGCGGGGGTGACCAAGGCGCCTCGAAGATGGTAAGTGGCATTTGCCAGGTGAGCGCCTAGGATTGTGGTGATGACGAGGACAAACCGAGCATGCATGATGTGGTCCTTGGTTGAAGAGGCAGGTAAATCGACCCAGAGAGGCTTCTGTCAGTACCAGCCAGAAGCTCATGAGTATTTATACCACACTTGTGTACTTCTAGGCTCCCCGCACAGTTTACACTATCAAGGCCAGCCATGGCTGTGGCCAGAGATCGTAAATTCATCCCTGGCGACTGCGTCTGATCCCGGTTGGTCAGTATCCTGCCACCACAAGGCTGTGAAATTCAAAAGTCACTGGCGCGCAGCCCTCCGCCAATACACCTCTTGCTGGTGAGCTGTCTGTTTGAGTATAATAGACACGCGTAGAAAATCCACTATCTCTGGCCTCGTACAAGTCGAGCGCCACTCAGACAGGAAGTCAGAGTTTGACTGAGTGCTTGAGCACAGCTCGCCTATTCTAAAAAAGCAAAACAAGCCTTATTGCTATGGGGCGGTGATTAAATACGAGAATGCTTACATGGCTTATGCTGATAGGCGTATCAGTACGCTTCTTTTGTGCTTTGGTCTCAGCCTTGCCCTGTGTCATGCGCTAAATACGAGGATTAATGTGAGGGTCACATGGCTTGTGTTCAGGCACTTTCTTCTTTACATCAGATCCAGCCGTAGCACGCCCTCCTCTGATGTTGATGGATCGAGTAGGTCTCAAATTTTCTCAGCTTGACCGCCATGAACAACAGCAAGTGGCACCCATGCGGCTCGACGGGAACGGCTCCTTCCGGTACCTTGGTGTAAGTGTAAGCAAAGTCAAGATGCGGGGGCGGCGCGTGAAACTCACCTATGTGGAGGCTCAGGTCTTGCCATTAGATAGAGAGGGTAGTCACACGCAGGTTACTTGGCGCAAGTGTAGTCCTTCAAACAAGCGCGGCATTCTAGGAATCGCAAAGGTTACAGGAGTTACATAATTGATGCCAAGGTTGCATTAGGAAATACACTTCTGGGCCTGAGACCTGACAGATAAAAATGTCTTGATTTGAAAAGCAGCGTATGCGTCTGATATTCAGGAGAAAGATATAGATTCAATACGTTGTCTCTGTCTTGGAGGTAAATACTGATGATGGACCTGACATCCTCGCAGATCGAACAATGTATCTCATGCAGCTACATGAGACATTCCTGGTTCGACCATTTATTGCTCAGTGTCTCGGAAATTCCTCACCCAAAGCTCCATTCATAGTGACAACGGGCTGGCACTCTGACATGACACCAACCATGCGAGACCACTGTGTCTTGCTGGGGTTGCGCCATTTGTGCAAAGTAGATCGCTGAATTGTCAAGTCCCCGGGCTTGATGATACGCGTTTCACCAGAGGACAGGGTGAGTTCGACCTCGCCCGCGATCTGGATGACAAAGTCCAAGCTCACGGTCCGATGCATGGGACTCTCCGAGTCTGGAGGCGTATCGATGTACCAAACGTTGGCACCGCCACCCTGCGTGACCAGCGGATGGAGCTCATTGAGCGAGGCCTCGTAGAGCTTGAGGTCGGTGCCATCTGTGAGCACCACAGGCGGCTTGTCTGTGGTATAGCCCAGACGCGTGAGGGCACCGCCGAGATCCTTCACGACGGAAAGGGACTCGTTGAGGGTATTGGAGAAGAAGGAGTTGCCCTCGTCATCGTTGTCAGTAATGTACCGCTTGGGGTTGGAAAGAACGTTTCCGGCCATGATTGATCAGTGTGCGATCCAGCGAGAGAGACGGCGTCTAGCCGCTGGTGAAATGGCGGCAGGCTTGACAGAAATATATAAGAACGAAGCCGAACATGAGCCCACGGCAGAGATACCGGGATTCACATGTAAGTAGACTTGATGCCTGCAAGTGTCTGCACATAATTATGGTGTGCGATGGGACCTTGATAGATGGAATGTCGGGCTTATGACCAATATTAGACGGCGAAAGCAATGTCGACGTCAGACGAGACAGGGCCTGCTCGCAACCAGCCAATTATAGGCCGTTCCGAGCTGCCTTTTTCCATCCAGAGACTTGACCTTCTACTCGGGAGTGAACGACCGAGCTTTCGAGTTTATGCGATCGTATGGCTTGTTGTTGTTGTTGTTGCAGAGCGGCCATTCAGCGGACAGGCAAAAGCGCAAATCACATAAGATCAAAGTCTATTCCAAGCTGAGGAGTTGCTGCTGTGCCGTGCCTGCAGCTCGGCATGCTAATCATCACAACTGAGGGAGCTCGGAATGGTCAATGATTGGCTGTATTTCAGCCACTCAGGAAAGAGGTGTGATGTTACTCTCTGGTGCGTGGAAGCTGCATGGCGGAACTTCTCTGTGTCTTCCGTTCCTGGTCTCGATGCATTTTCACATCATACAACCTAGTCTTAGAACCGTCCAACGGCCGCACTGCAGCTCGGCGTATGGCAAGCCTTTCTACCTCACACTGATCAACTCTGTCTGCAAGATGTCCTTGGCTTCGCCAGCCCAGCCGCATGTCTCTCTACGCCACAGGAGATACAAGGCCGCCCTTGCTTGCGCGACTTGTCGTCGCCGCAAGGTGAAATGCGACGGTCTCCGTCCAGGTGCTTCCATTCTCTTCTAACCCGTAGCCTCCGCTAAAATGTCTTCACCCGAAGTTGCAAATGCTGATTACAGTATTTTCAGTGTGTGGGAGATGCAAAACCAAAAGAGAGCTTCAGGAAACATGCACGTACATCCCGGCGTCAGCTCGCCGTAGCAGTAGTGTGAATGCTCCTCTTTCGTCAGCTGCAGCATCTTCACAACTACGGAGACCTGGTACATCCGCTCAAACACGTTCGGAGCAATCGGATGCCATTGGCACTCCGAGCGCTCACGCCGTCGGTGACCCAGGAGAGTTCTCTTTCGAGGTCAAGGCTGCTGTGGAGGCCAAATTGGGGTTGCCGTCCTCGAAAAAGCGATGCCCTATTCCTCTGACGGATGCCCCGTTATTTGGCTTGTTGTCTCTTCCAGAGATTATAAATGCCGCTATAAACCCTGCGAACAATGTCCTTCCCCCGCGGAAGCATGCCGACCACTTGGTAAGCCTGTACTGGCGATGTCTCGATCCTCTGGAGCCGTTGCTCGATCATAGATCCTTCTGGACCGCGTACCAGGCACTCTTTGACGGCGGAGAGATGGAATGCAATGAACATATCTTTCTCTGCACGCTCAACCTTGTATTTGCTTTATCCACTCAATTACAGGAATCCACTCCTTCGGAACAGAGACACAGCGCCAGCAGGACGTTCTTTCTTCGAGCGTGGCATCTGCTGCGTCCGGAGATCGTCCTCTGGCAACCCGGCTCGTTGGAGATCGTTCAATGTCTGGTCCTTACGACCAGGTATCTTCAATGTACTCCAAATTTACAGCAGACGTGGATGGCACTGGGTTCTGCTGTGCGGATTGCCCTGAACATTGGCCTCGACCGCTCAGAGAAGAATCTGGCCGTGTCGGATAGGGAGACCCAGTTGACACGGGATGTTTGGCAGCATTGCGTATTTATGGACCGGTATAGAAAATTATTCCCACGTTTTTAGACCGCACCTCTGCTGATTATAATTCAGAAACCTTTCTTGGTCGCTCGGGCGGCCTTCCACGGTACCGAGTGTGCCCTTCTTCTCGCTCGACGTACTTCGAAATGGTAGCAATCTACCTGGCTCCGACAATATGACCGATGCCTCAGTGTCTGAGAAAATGCAAAAATTGGCCACAATCGCCGGCTACATTGGTCTTTCTCAAGTGCTCCCCGCCAATAGTGCGGCGGAGAGGCAAGACTTGGTTCTACAAGCCCAAGCCGAACTCAGTGCTGTGATGCAAGTTGATAAGTGTCTGGCTAGTCTTGAGAACGGCCTTCCTCCAGGGCCGTACCATTCGGCCAGTGGTGAAACCGCCAATCTCTTCGACGGACGGTTGATTCTTCTTCGTCTCCGGTGAGACTCGCCGAGTCCTGTCTGCTAGTTCTTATATCAGACACAAGCTAAATCTTCGCGTTTCAGTCTGGCGCATACGCGCATCATGCTTCTCAGACCCCTTATGGCTCGCTTCTGTCTATCGCATCTGCAAACGCATCAAGTTTCTCCGCCAGCTGAAACAAGCGTAGGCGATCGTGTGCTCGAAACATGCGCTACGCTCTGTGTTGAAAACACGCAGAAGCTCATCACGCTGATTCAGGAGTGCTCGCGACCAGACAGGACTGGAATCATACCCTGGTGGTATCGTATTTTCTACCTCCGCATCGCGATGCTGCATTTGGTAGCAGCGATGCTGCGGCCTGATGTTTTCGGGACCATGGTTTCGGAGTCATGGAACACAGCAGTCTCCGTACTTGGTAGTCACGAGCATCTCAGTCTGTCGGCTAGGCGATGTCTGGACAAGTTGCAGATGATGTGGCAGAGGGTGGTTGATATACACAATCCACCCACTCACGAAGCTCCTCCATCCCGCGTAGATTACCATACAGGGCTCCACGATGTCTTTGAGTATCTTGGATTTGACGGACAGATTCCGCTGTTCGGGCTGGACGATTCAGCGTGGCTGGACAATGTGGATTGGACAACATGGTCTGCCTAGTATTCAGTTGCTATGCCCTTTGCTCGATCAATCTGGACGGCGATGATGGATGGCAGCAAAGACTGTAGTATACCTTTACTCTTGTCATCCTAGAAAGTTAAAGATATCCTTTTACAACCATTGATAAGGCGGAAATGCGTCATCGACCAGATGAGACGGGCTTTGCTGGGGGCATTATAATGTCTCAATAATTGCTTGCTGGCATGCTCGACGGTGGCCAACCGAATTGTGCCCAGTCCTTTTGATCTTCTCCACCTGCTATGTTATAGCTCACGTCTGTACAGGTCCAGGCGTACCAGACTATACCGCTTCATGCAATTGGATGGGGAATACTGCAAAGGAAGGATCTATTTTGGGTGCGAATGAAATGCAGAATTCCAAGCTGATCGTTCGGCGAAACAACTCTCAACTCGTCGCGCCTGTGAGTAAGTAGCACCTATCGAAGTACTATCGAAAGGAGGTAATACAACCTGTGATGTATGTGAGGAGGTAGGAATGATCACTTACAGTCCAGAGTCCAGAGCACTGAAGCTGATGCTATTGGCCCATACACTCGAGAATAAGTTATTTTAGCTTGCATGAAATGGTTCATCATCGGATTTGACCCACTGGAAACGAATACAGGCTTGGCATATCAAAACTGCCTAGCATTGACTGCCCGTTTTGAGAATCAGAAAGACCCTCCCTACATATAAATGAGATGTCGCTGTCTCTTGACGACTCATTTATTTATTTCAATTGTACAGTTCTCAGGGAAGAAAAAAACAACCATGCCAACTCCATCCAGTCAGGTCTCGGCACCAATGCCGACAATCACGGCGCCCTGCACCCTAGATACATGTCCTCTTGACTGGGCTCTGGTGCGCTACATGCCGAGTGTTCCAGGAAATGCTCTATACCTGGTTCTCTTCCTCATTATGCTCCTTGTCCAAATCTATCAGGGAGTCCGCTCCCGTACCTGGTCCTACCTCGCTTGCATGACTGGCGGACTCCTTCTTGAAGTCGTCGGCTACGGCGGGCGCCTCATGCTTCACTCAAACCCTTTCAATTTCTCTGCCTTTCTCCAGTCAGTAACCGATGCTCTACCTGTGCTCGTGCGATGCTGATGCAGTTAGGTATCTCATCTGTCTTACCATTGGACCTACCTTGATCACCGCAGCCATCTACCTGTGTTTTGGCCGGGTCATCATTGTCTACGGCGAGGGCTTCTCCAGGATTAAATCCCGAACATATGCCATTATCTTCGTGACCTGCGACCTTCTTTGTCTCATTCTACAAGCCGCAGGCGGAGCCGTGACTGCCACCGCAGGACGGGATCAGGATGGTCTCCGCCATACTGGGGTCAACATCATGATCACAGGTCTAGCGGCGCAGGTTTCATCGCTGGGGGCGTTCATGGCGCTTGCCATCGATTACCTGTGGAGACTGCGCCAACACCGACAGTCACAGCCGTGCACGTTCTCGTCCGGTGGCAGCTGGAAATGGAGAGGGTTTCTCTTGGGTTAGTTCCATATCCACAAAGGGTCAGCTTTATGGAAGGGATATTCTAACTGATAGTACATCAGGACTGGGAATTGCAACTTTCCTCATCTTCATCCGATCGATCTTTCGGACGGCCGAATTGAACGGCGGATTCAGCAGTGACCTGGCCAACGATGAGATCGCATTCATGATCCTGGAGGGGGCGAGCATGGTCGTCGCCTGTGGCAGTATGAGTATATTCCACCCGGGACTCAGTTTAAAAGGGCATTGGAAGGATCCCATGTCGTGGCCGTTGAAGGCCCAGCGGGACGATGGTGTTCCATTGGCTGAGGCTGGACAGGAGAATACACATTAGCTCGGGTTATACGAAGGTGGAGCGTTTTCCCTAGAGCGGGTAGATGGATGTCTGCCTTGAGAAGGGCTCCATGACAGACTTTATTGAGCCCAAAGAGTAGGCTATTTATGTAGCTGGACATGATTGGACAAATATTAGAGCAATTCCAATCTTGTCGATCGCCAAGCAGAGTATGTCCAGTGTCATTGGTCTGTTCGTATTTGTCTTCCGGAACAGGTATAATGTAGACCAACATACACCGAGATATATCCGATATCCACCCATGCCATGTATATGGAGGAGTATCTCCCTTTTGTTTCAGAATGTAGAACGGCTGACTGCCTTTGTTATCTTCATATTGACAATTCTATAAAATATCTTCAAGGAAGACGTGGTACAATGCGCAGAGCTCATACGAAATCAAGGACAGGTTGCAGAACATGCAAGTATGACCCCTTCTTGCTCAACGTGGCACAAGTCGGTGTACAATCTGATGCAATATTCGCTGATATAAACTCCCGTACTGCTACAGAACTCGGAGAATACGGTGCGACGAGACATGGCCCTCCTGCAAGCGCTGTACGACCACTGGCCGTCGCTGCGATGGCCCGTCTCTTAGACAGACTAGCCCCGTCGCAGTCTCATTCGCTCAGACATGGACATTGACATCGACGGTAAGAATGCGACAACTCCCTAGGTTATGCGAGGAAAGCGAACAGGACACTCGTTATGTGCAATACTTTGTAGAGTGTCTCTCCGTGGACACCCCCAGCTGTGGCAGCGAATACTTGCACTGGCGACCTCTCATGATCCAAGCCATGCATCAGGAGATTGCTATTCGTCGAGGTGTTGTCGCTTTGAGCGCGCTTATGCAGGAACGAATGGAGCATGGCTCAGTGGGGATACATGGGTTTGATGCGCCTCCTCGGAGCGGACGGTATCTTTTCGGGCTGAAAAAGTATAGCAGGGCGTTGGCTTCCTTGCAGGAATTAGTCAAGGATATGGGGAATGACAGATATCTCACGCAGGTGGCCCTGCTCTGCGGGATCATCTGTATCTGGTTTGAGATTCTCATGCGAGATTATCTTGCTGGGTTGCGTCACCTGGAGATGTGTCTGAAGATAGTTCTCAATGCAGGCCCTTCGGGGAATGTCGACTCGGACATCCAAAGAGCTTATGCGCGAATGGACATGCAAGCATCGTTGTATGTCGGGATCCGCACCCCCGTCACAGTTCCCGAAGCAATGTCCCCGATCCCCTACGTCTTCGACTCGTTCAACCAAGCCGAAGCCTGCCTGATGGAGGAATACGCTCGAGTTGTCCACTTTTACCGCAATGCAGGCAATTTCTACCGTATCCATCAACTATTTTGCGTTCCGCTGGAGCTAGTTGCGTACACACAGACCCTGCAAGCGCGTCTTGAGCTTTGGAAGTCAGCATTCGGGTATTCCTATGCCTGTCAGAAGGCGCAGGGCAGTCCGCAGACTTCTGCGCGCGCTTCTCTTCTTCTTATCCACTATTACATCGCGCTGGTAACCGCGGCTACATCCGTCTATGCCGAGGAAACGCTGTATGATCAGTTCCTGTATGTGTTCAAGCGGATTCTTTCCCTGGCGAGATCGTTGAACGCCTGCCAAGAGAGTGCCGCTGCAACTTTGCTTGTCGGCGTTCCGATGAAAATGGGCATCATTCACCCGTTGTATTTTGTCGCGACCAAATGTCGGGACTCAGCGGTCCGGCAAGAGGCCATCGACTTGTTGTCCTCGGCGCCGTATCCGGATGTGGTCTGGGAGGCGCCGATACTGGCGGCGGTGTCACGAAGGGCGAAGGAAATCGAGGAGCTGGGCCTCGATGGCAATCAGCCGGTCCCTGAGTTCAAAAGGCTTCATGGCCTCGGGTGGGCAATTGAGTATGAATCTCGTCAGGTGCGGGTGGAATTCCGTAGACGCCCCAATGGCATGGACGGAGAGTGGGATGAGTGGGAGGAATGCCTTAGCTGGTAGACAGAATGCATTCTCTTCCTGTGCAGCGTAGTATCTTTTGGAATTAATGATCTAAGTGGGTCTACCGATGATTTTTGCTGCCAATGTTCTGTCTTCAAAAGGGCTCTCCTTAAGTCCGTGGAGATAAGCTTCCGCTATAAACACTACAGGACCAGAGTGACGCACATTAGCGGTCACGCTCTTAAATCCTCGGAGATTATCAACTCAGTCATACAGTCAGTGTTGAAATATAATGTAGTCACGAGTCTATAAATTCCGCTTCTGCCCGATGGACGTTTCGTCTAGTCAACACATCACAACAGTTCTACTCTCACAACATGGCCACCTTTCAAACAATCCTTATCATCGGAGCCACCTCGGGGATTGGCGAAGAACTGGCTCGCCAGTATCATGCCAAAGGCAAGAAGGTCGTCATTTCGGGTCGTCGGACAGAGAGACTGGGTGCTCTGACGGCTGAGCTACCAGGGTTGGGCTCGATCCAGGTATGTGCAGCGCTCTACAACATACGGCTGTCTAACACAAGGCAGATGGATGTAAAGGATCTTGCAGCTTTGCCAGGGAAGATGGATGAAGCATTTGCGAGATACCCAGACATTGATGCGGTGATTATCAATGCCGGCATCCAGCGTCTCGTGGACTTCAACTCCACCGATGTCTCTGCAGCCCAGTACCCTAGCACAGACACCATTGCCGACGAGGTCACAACCAATCTGACCGGTCCGACCGTCCTGGCACGCTGCATTATTGAACACTTCAAAGCATCGCGACCGGACCAACCTTGTCTTCTAGCCTTTGTGACTTCGGGTCTGGCGTTGGTCCCAGCCGCCGTGTTCCCCGTGTACTGCGCCACAAAATCAGCGCTGCATTGCTTCACAGTGCTCTTGCAGAATCAGCTCAAGAATACCTGTATCAATGTAGTGGAGATTTTGCCTCCGTACGTGGAGACCGATTTGGATAAAGATCACATCGAGGAAATGACCAGACGCATGGGTGGGACGAAGCCGCAGGGGATGCCGGTCAGGCAATACGTTGACCAAGTGGTGCGAGGGTTAGAGGTCACGGAGAATGGAAAGATCCAGAAATACGTCGCTGATGGATTTCCTCGCTCTGCGGTCGACGCATGGGTCACGGCTTTCAGTCCCATGGCGAAGATGCTGCATACCGAGCTATAATTCTAGACAGTCGAGGAAGTACTCGGGTCGAGAATGTCTTCGATTGGGACTGTTGAGTCCTGGCCGAGAAGAAGGCTCTCGTACGCAGTCTCGAAATCGTCTCCTTGCACGAATGAGTCCCAAGCATCCTGGTAGATTCTATTAGCTTTGAACCTGTCATACCAGAAAACAACGTACCCAATTTAGGTCAACCATATCCATGTTGGTACCCTTTGCACTATCTTCGTCTGTATACAGATGTACATGAGAAAAGGACGCAGACTGACCACTCAAGGTGGGATCGAGAGGAAGGCCTTTTTCGCCATCGACTGAGACTGCGAGGTCAACGGCTGGCGCATGTTGATCTGGAAGACCAAATTTCGGCCGTAAAAGCTCCAACATTGTGTCTAGCACGAGTCCAACTTTGCCTGCCTCATGATTTTCCACTGCAAGGGTGTTCCAAATCTGGCGCGAGGTGTCGAGAGCCTGGAATATCTCCTTGACCTGGGCATCTGTCGAAGGTACCTCTTGGTCTGTACGAGTCCAGTATTGCAGGTATAAGCACAGCACCATCGCAGCCAGGCTAAAGTTCGCACTGTCAGGAGTGATGGTGTACCCATGGAATTTGCTCAAACACCCTCCCGGCTGAGCCTCTCTGTATATGGTAGCCTGTTGTTGGAGTAGCGTCATGGACGAATCAATGCTTCTTTGCTGAGACAGAGCAAATGCGGGGTTTTCCCGGGCTTCTTGAAGATATTTTCGATGTAGTGCGGTGACTGCTTGGTGGTAAAGTGTGTCTAAGTGGACTTTTTGCACCATGACATATGCAGGTTCGTTTGGCGCATTGTCCCAGTTGTTCAGTTGCAAGTGGGGAGGAATCGACCCATAGGCCTCCACAAGGTCACTGTCAAGCTGTAATACCCTTTCGTAAGGCTGCCGCTGTACGGAATTCAAAAATTCGACAACCCGTCTCATCACTCGGGTGAGTTTGCTCTTGGCCAGTGAATAACCGATTGGAACACTCGCCGAAAACGGCCTTGACGACGGCAACTCGGTCATGCCTTCATCTATGTCGGTATCGAGGAGATTGCGCGGCGCGGTCGTATCAGAGTCCTCCGTCCGGATGGCAGCTGGGATGCCAAGATGAAAGGAGGACAGGCAGTCAATCTGCTCGATCGAGCTCCAGATCCTTCGACGCATCTCGCCCTCAAAGGGCGTCAGATTGGAGAAATGAGACGGATCCCGGTGCAATCCCAGCCTCATTGCCAGTCGCACGATCGAGCCAATGTGCGTAATCAACCCAGCGCCCCATTCTTCACGATGAGAGAAACCAAATATGCCGTGTGCGATCATTGCTTGGAGCGTTTGCAGAGTGGTCTGGTTTAATTTGATACGCTCCAGACACTGGCCGGACTTGCTGTGGTAGAGTTCCCCGAGCGCCTCGGTCATCCCCGAGTCCTCTTTTGCATCGGGAAGAAATTTCATCGCCAAGCTGAATATCGAATAGAGCAGAGCTAGCCATGTTAGAGTAGTGGATGAGGGGTTCTTCCAATATTCTTCGTACTGTTGACAGTCAGCGACGATTGACTAACTACGAAGGATGGCTGCAACCTGCTTCATGAACGTCGGATGATGAATCGAATCTGCGACTTTTGTCAGATGATAGGGTTCAGCAACAACATTCAAGAAACCTTACACCTTGTTGGGCCAACGAAAGAGTGTGGAGCAAAGAATGCTGATATTAGTCTATCGGCTGCGGAGCGAGATGGCATGGCCGCTAGCAGCTCCTCATTCAATCCAGGAGCAGTTCCCTGGGGATGATTGGTTGTATCCTTGTGTATCCCGTCTTGGACGGTCAATGTCGCCAGCTAGAGAAAGCTTCTATCAGCATCTTCAGCATGTTCCATGTGTTGGACATTAGGAAGCATACCTCACTGAGGACACTATCCCAGTGACTACCACTTCGATAGAAAAGTCCGTCAAAGAGCCGCCCATGGACCGGACTTGTAGCTCTGCCCTTCAACGGAGGTGCCGAGCTATTCACCTTCTGTCGTCGACTGGGACGAGTGGCATACAGACAAAGATTACTGGATCCCCGCATCACACAATTGTGGCAGGGCTGTTGACGATCACATCGCAGTCTATCCGTGTCAGTTTCATATGTATTATAATCCCATATGCTAGAGCACATACTTGCGCACTCGGCATGAAGCACAAGAAATCGGGACTCGATTGCGTTTTGCAGGGCCAGCTCTCGATGCAGCTGGGGCGTTGGATGATGACTCATCCATGACTACATGTACCAGTAGAGTAGGTAATAATCAGTCGCCTTGACGAGTTATTCCAGGCTCCGCTGTCTCCTGATAAATCGATGTGACCGGAAAATAGAGCTGTGGGAGGAGAAGCTGAACAAAAGGGGGAATAGGCTATGATTGGTGGAAGTGGTCAGCCATTGCTTACCTCATATTTCTGCATAAGACTGATTATGCTGAATGTATAAATTTGACTGTCTACTACGTCCATTACCTAGTTTTGCCACTTCCATAGATATTCTATGACAATCAGAAAATAAACCATTAGCTATCATTCCCAGATACTGTACGTATCAAATACCCATCCAGTTGGGATATAGAACCCTTAGTCCGGATATATATATTTTAAACACACGGTACCCCTTCTCCTTTCTATTACAATACGGTCGGAGGTAACACTTGTAAAGATCCATTTTAAGTATTTTATACAAATCGTACAACCAGAAAAGGTTACCTTAAAAGTAGATATATGGTAGTGATTTTGTGAGTGATATGGCGGAAGTGGTCAGGTGATTATTCATCTTCATGTTGATTGTTAATTGTAGGCAAGCCATCTTGGTGTTGTCAGCCTATGCCTGCGTATCGGACGGAATACTAATCATTTATACAAGTAAAGTTAGCCATGTGGTTATTAATGACTATGCAATCACTAATCAAAAACAGTTCCTGATGGAGGACAGTCTCCACTACGGGGTAAATGATCACTAAACAATATTAAACACCATTTATAATGGTAAAATGATATGAACGCCCTCACTGCCAGGTCGTCGAGTTGTATATTAACCAAGACCGCCCCCTGATCAAAATCTCTTTTCTCATTCACATTACTTCCTTATTCAAACCACAGCCTCCAACCAAATGCCTTCCGGACTTATCTTCATCACCGGTGCTACCGGCTTCATCGGCAGCACTGTCGCGCTCGAAGCCCTCAAATCCGGTTACTCGCTGCGCATCAGCATCCGGAAGGAGTCACAGATCCCCAAACTCAAGAAGCTTCTGGCGCAATTCGAAGACAAGATAGAATTCGTTATCGTGCCTGACATCACTCTGGAGTCTTCCTTCGCAGGAAAGCTGGATGGAGCCGACTATGTGCTTCACCTTGCGTCGCCTCTTCCCCACGGGACAGACAAAGAGACGTACTTTAATCCGGCTGTAAAGGGCACCACGGCCATTTTGACAGAAGCCGCCAAAGTCAGCACGATCAAGAGAGTCGTGATTACGTCGTCCATTGCGGCACTCATACCTCTCAGGGGAGTCCCTGAAGGAGGGGTCATTAGAGGTCAGTTTCCGATGACTCCAGAACAGTAGTTAGGTCGCTGATAGATGCTGATTGGCCATGCATAGAGAACAATGGTTGGGACCTGACCGTCGACCCAAATGCCGACTTCACGGGACCGGACGACGCTGCCACCTCGTTCAGACTCTACCACGCCTCCAAGCTCCTAGCAAACAACGCCAGTTGGGAATTCAAGAACACCGAGAAGCCGCATTTCTCGCTTGTAACCCTGCATCCTTCCTATGTCTTTGGACACAATTATGTGCAGGCTAGCCCGGAGGAAATCCAGGGTGGTACAAATGGAATGATCTGGGGAACCGTCATGACGGGCAAGCCAGTTGGAAACAGTACGGGAGTGCATGTCCAGGACGTGGCTGAGGCACATATTAAGGCGCTTGATGAGAAGGTGCCAGACGGGTCCAAGTTCTTGTTGGCTGGTAAAAAGGCATCCTGGAGCGATGTTGCTCGCATCGTGAAGAGAGACTATCCGGGGATTGGCGCCAAGATCACCGAGGATATCCCAGGAGAGTCATACCCACTGGACACAACAGAGGCTGAGAAAGTCTTGGGGATGAAATGGAGGTCGATGGACCAGATGGTCAAGGATGTGCTGGAGCAGCAGTTGGGGTTGCTGAACAAGGCGGCCATGTAGACTGATGCTGTATTTTGTTATCACTATGTCGATTAGATCAGACGGATCGCTGCACTATTTTCAGTCTGATAACTTATTAGATACTCAACAGGCATTACGCAAGTCAGAGCAAGAGGACTGCCATGAGGACTATTATGTATTAATTTTATGAAAGTTCCAGTAATACAACCTCGAAATCCTTCATACTGGACGCAACGGTGTCTTTAGACGGACGAACTGTTATGGGAAGATGATGACCGGCGAACTTACATATAAAATCGCACGAGTCTGCACAACCACGACGGAAAGGCGGCCAGCAATAGTGCCACATGACCTACCAGAACAGAAAGGTGAGCTCGCTCTCGCACACACGAGGGTGGTGCAAGTACTAACACCAGTCCGTTGGAGAAAAGAAAACTAAGAGCGGGCTTGCGATTAGAAGACATGTGGATATGGACGATTATGGGCAAAGGCAGGGCAAAGACCCAGATATCGGTGAGCAGGTTGGTGATGTTAGTAAAGGAGGAGAAGACCACTAGGTCGAAGCATCTCGGGCCCACCCGAGTCATTCCAGAACCCTAGGGTTTTGGAATAAACTGGCAAGAACAACCTCCCTCGACTTTTGGACGTTGTACTGTAAGATTCGCAGCTCCTGATGTCCTAGCATCAGAGCAAGCCTATGTCAGCGCGGTCCATATGTGATCGGGTCCGGGCTCTTCGAGCTTCTTCTGAGCGAGTGGTTGACCTGCGTTGGCATTCCGGGTGTTGTGCGGCTCTTGCCGTGTGGTTCTCTCCTTCAATGGAACGTGCCAATAGATACTGCGGGCTTCCTTGGCTTGTTCGACTCTTTGCATTTCCTTGGTGTTGAGCACTGCAGAAGTGTGTGATTCTTCTGCTATTTCAACCCATCTGCTTATCAGACTGCCATTGAGCGCTTCCCTCTTCAACAGTTATCCTTC